CATCATCATGATCATCAACATAATCATCATGATCATCCGCATCCTCATCATCGCGACACCATCATCATCATCCTCATCATCGACATCATCATCATCATCATCATCATCATCATCATCATCATCATCATCATCATCATCATCATCATCATCATCATCATCATCATCATCATCATCATCATCATCATCAGCATCATCATCATCATCATCATCATCATCATCATCATCATCATCAGCATCATCATCATCATCATCATCATCACCATCATCATCATCATCATCATCATCAGCATCATCATCATCATCATCATCATCGTCGTCGTCGTCGTCGTCGTCGTCGGCATCATCAGCATCATCATCACCATCATCATCATCACCATCAGCATCATCATCATCATCATCATCATCATCCTCACCATCAACATCACCAGCATCATCATCAACATCATCATCATCAGCATCATCACCATCACCATCACCATCACCATCATCAGCATCATCATCATCAGCATCATCATCATCAGCATCATCATCATCAACATCAGCATCACCATCATAAACATCATGATGGTCATCATGGTCATCATCATCAACATCATCATCATCATCATCATCGTCATCATTATCATCAGCATCATCATGGTCATCATGAGCATCATCATCACCACCACTACCACCACCACCATCACCATCATCATCAGCATCATCATCACCATCATGATCAGCATCATCCTCATCATCATCATCATCAGCATCCTCCTCATCATCATCAGCATGGTATTCATGATCATCATGATCATCATGATCATCAGCATCAGCATCATCATCAGAATCACCATCATGATCATCATCAGCATCAGCAGCAGCATCATCATCAGCATCATCAGCATTGGCAGCATCATTATCATCATCATCATCATCATCATCATCATCATCATCATCATCATCATCATGATCATCATCATCATCATTATCAGCATTATCATCATCATCAGCAGCAGCATCATCATCCCCCTCCTCCTCCTCCTCCTCCTCATGATCATCACAATCAGCTTCAGCATCATCATCATCATAATCATCATCATCATCAGCATCATCATCATCATCATCATTCTCATTTCATCATCAGCAGCATCAACATCATCATCATCCTCCTCATCATCCTGATCCTCATCCTCAACCTCATCATCATCATCATCATCATCACCATCCTCATCATCCTCATCATCATCATCAGCAGCAGCATCATCATTGGCATCATCATTATCATCATCATGATCATCAGCAGCATCAACATCATCATCATCATCCTCCTTCTCATCCTCATCCTTATCTCCATCATCCTCATCGTCCTCATCATCCTAAGAATCCTCATCAGCATCCTCATCCTCATCCTCATCCTCATCCTCATCCTCATCCTCATCCTCATCATCATCCCTCCCCCTCCTCCTCCGGCCTCCCTCCCTCCCTCCCTCCCTCCCTCCCTCCGCCTCCACCTCCTCCTGCTCCTCCTCCTCTGCCTCCTCCTCCTCCACCTCCTCCTCCTGTTCTCCTCCTTCCCCTCTACTTGCTCCCCCTCCCACTTCTCCTCCTCCTCCTCCTCCTCCTCCGCCTCCTCATCTTCCTCCTCCTCCAACTTAATCATACGCGTCGCATCCGGCAACCTCCGAATCCACGGGAACCGTCCCGAAGGCCTCCGAGCCGTCCGAAAACCTAAAGCTGCCCCGAATGCCACGAAACCCGCAGAGCGCCGACGACGACGACGACGACGACGACGACGACGAGGACGACAATGACGATACCTTCTGGTCTACGAGGAGCGGCGCGGGCCGCGCCTGCTCCTCCCGCACGCCGATCAGGCTCTCCCTGGGGAGCGGCGCACTCTGCGCCCGACCCGCCCGACCAGCACGAGGGGAGCCCTCCTCCTCCTTCGGCTGCACGCGCGAGCGATCCCAGGCAGGAGGCACCCTTGGGTGCGCGGCCTGCCGATGGTTGTGCAGTCGAGACGCTGAAAGAGTGGCCACTTCGGGCTCGGGCCGTTCCTCAGATCCAGGTCGGCCTCTGGTCTTCGGGCCGTTCCGGGCCGTTCCTCAGATCCAGGCGGGGGAACCTCTTCGAAGCGGAGGCTCGCTGTGGCCAGAAAAGCCCCCGTCGTCCCTTCTCCAGCCTTCCTCGTGGACGCACGACGACTGCATGCGATGCGACAGAAACGGCCTGCGTGCGTGTGCTCGGCCCCTACTGTCCCCCGAACCCCGTGCACCCCTGGCGGCGCCCACAAGGGGGTTATGGGGGAGGGGGGGGCGGCTTCTTCGAAGGCGGCTGACCGATGCTCCTGGCTCGCCGTCTTTCTGCTTCTTCTGGCTGGGCGCCTCTTCCTCAGCACGTCCTTCCGAAGGTTTCTTGTGCTGGAGGGCTCCACCCCACCAGGGCATGGTCTGGAAAAGGACAAGAGATCTCTCGTGTGTTGGTAAGAGGACGACAAGAGGATCGAGCTGAAGATGCCAATAAGGCTGTTCGGTCGAGTCGACATTGATGTTGCATATCGGGTAAGCATATAACTCTGCGTCGTGAATGTCAAGTCTTGATCGAGCTCTGTTAGTGACACAAAATCTGCTTGTCTGGCGAAGACGACGACGACGAACCACCCCACACCCACAGGTAGGAGCACAGGCACCCTCCAACACGACAAAACACCAGGGCCACGACCACAGGGGGGGCGCGATCCCATTCGCGAGGCCGTCGCGAAGCTCACGGGCGTACCAATCCAGGGGGGGCAGGCTCAATCCCATACGCATTGAGGGTGCAACTCTGGATCATACACCCCCACCTGGGGGCCTTGCTGCCAGTCGGGGCAGCCAGTGGAGGTGGGGATCGGGTAAACGATGTTCAGGAAGTAATAGAGGAGGAATGGGGAAGTGGGGGAGCAGGAGAGAGGGATTCAGGAAGGGAGTGGCAGAAGGGGACATCGCCGCCCCAGCTTCCGTATCCTCCTCCTCCTCCTCCTCCTCCTCCTCCTCCTCCTCCTCCTCCTCTTCCTCCATTTTCTCCTCCTCCTCCTCCGCCTCATCATCCACCGCCGCCGCCTCCTCCTCGGCCACCTCCTCCTCCACCAAAGACTAGGGCTGGCGGCATTGGACGCCGACTCCAACGCGAAATGCCGCCATCCCCACCATCTCCAAATCCTCCTCCTCCTCCTCCTCCTCCTCCTCCTCCTCCTCCTCCTCCTCCTCCTCCTCCTCCTCCTCCTCCTCTCCTCCTCCTCCTCCTCCTCCTCCTCCACCTACTCTTCCTTTTTCCCCCTCCTCCTCCACCTCCTCCTCCTCTCCTCCTCCTCCTCCTCCTCCTCCTCCCTCTTCCTCTTCCTCCTCCCTCCTCCTCCTCCTCCTCCCTCCTCCTCCTCCCTCCTCCTCCTCCCTCCTTCCTCCTCCTCCTCCTCCTCCTCCTCCTCCTCCTCCTCCTCCTCCTCCTCCTCCTCCTCCTCCTCCTCCTCCCCCTCCTCCTCCTTTCCCCCCCCCCTTCGCCATCACCACCCCCTCCTGCTGCTAGGGTCCTTCGAGCCGGCCCGCCAGCGGGGGGAGCGGAGGAGGCGGTCCTGGCGAACGTCTCCGCCCGGCGAGCGACGCTGGCCTGCATCTCGCCCCGCGCCTCCGGGGGGAGGGCCCCGGCCGGAGAGCAAGCCAGAGCGAGGGGCTCGCGCTGCGCCGCTGGCTGTGCTGCGCACGGGGGCAGTGCTTGGCCCGCGGCGCAGGTGGACGCGGAAAAGCGACCGCAGAGCCAGCGGGCCGAGCCGGACACGGGGCGCACGTGGGCGGGTGGAAAAGCAGACATCGGCCGGGGCACGGGGGCCACGAGGGAGGTAGGAAATGAGAAACCAACGCACGACGCGAGGCTGGGCTCCATCCATCATCATCCACTGCAAGGGAAAGATGTCCAGGGACCCCAAATAACTATTTACATCTACCGCATCCCGAGGTCCAGGAAAAATCGGTTCCCAAACATGAGATGCCCTGTTTTTTCAATGCGCAATCCCCGAAGTCCCGACCCCTTCCCTGGGAATCCTGAGTCGTTTGTTGACGGCCCCGGGGCTCTATAAGGGCCCCCAAAGCCCGACAACGACGAGCAACAAATCGTTTGGACTGTTTCACGACGCGAGCGTGTCTGGGTTCCAGAGCGGTGGATATTGCGAGACGACGGCGAGCGCGCGCAGGCGGGACGCCAGGGCGGGCAGGAAGAACCAGGAAGGCGGCCACGCGGGAAGGGGGCAGAGGGCAGGCAACGTGCAGAAAGCACGGGGGAGAAGGCGAGAGCGAAGGAGGAAGGCGAGGAGGGGGGACAATTTGTTGTCGATCGAGTTTGAGACGGAAGCGAAAAGGGGCTATGCGTTACATGATCTACTTGGTCTTCTACGCCATGCTGTCGCTGGACAGGATGCTGCTCGTCGCCCCCGGGACTTCGGCGGCCTCGAAGGTGGCCTGTCTGAAGAGAGACCGGCGCGTGCGCATACGTAGATTGGTCGCATCTTCACTACGTAGGGCCCGCCCTTAGCACTGGAGGGTTGTGTCCAGGATCACGATGAGTTGCGCGCACTCTTTGCGGCCAGGAGGTGGAATCTGCTACACATCGGGTATGGCAGTGCCGTCGTAATGCGGCAGAGCAGCGAAGCCTACGTGAAAAAGAAGCCTGCTGCAGTACGGCCAGGATCTGTTCCTCCGTGCTTGGCGCGGTGCGGCCTGATCCCAGCTGCATACCGGGGCGTGCCGGCGGTGGCCCCCGACCATGCTCCTGGAATCTCTTCGTATCTGTTACGGGCGAGCGCCATCGCTACGCAAGCATTGGTGGACCGTCCAAGCGGGAAGCCCGTGGCGTTTGACCTGGCGCTGCCGCGGCCGCGGCACTTGCAGAAGATCTACCGATCGGTTCTGCCGCTGCTGAAGAGGATCAAACCCGGGTTTGGACCTCAACCCTACGGCGTGCTCACCGCGAGTTATCTTCCTGTTGAACGAGCCCTTCATGCTTTTCATCGCCCTGCTGGCATTGTCGTGTCATGCAACGTTTCCTCCAAGAGCGCGGACGGCGAGGAGGTATCAGGCTGGGGCTTCACTGTGTCCTTGCCCGGTGCGGCGCCGCTGTTGCATTTTTTCGGACCCACCATCATTGACGACACTACTCCTTGTTATATTGGTGCGCGCGGGCATTCAAACAACGTCGGCGAGCTGAGCGCCATGTTTTACTTTGACGCTGTGCCTTTCATGCATGATCACATCCGTGCCTCCTCCTCTTCGTCATCATCATCTTCTGCATCATGTTTCATCGTGTATGAATCGGAGTACGCGGCCAACGTTGCACGCATACTTTCGAGAGCATGCCAGGATATCAGGTTCGCCCTGTAAAGTCGACACTTGGTTGATGAGCTTAAATAGTCCCTAGTATGGCAGAAGGTGGAATCTCACACGGAATTGTTCCTTAACGACCGGGCTGATGAACTCGCAGATTGTGGTGCGAGTGGACTCTCCAGTGGCCTGCCAGACGCACGGATATGGGCAAGCTTAGCAAGCGAATCATCAAGCTCTGAGGTCAGGCAGCCCCTGACAGGACCCGTTCACGCGTTTCGGCCCCTCGGGGTTCTTCAGGCCAATCGTCGACGACGTGACCAAAACCAGTGGAAACACCAGCAAGCAGACTGGCCGGGCCATGGGCCAGGAGACGAGGGCCGCCCGCCCGCGACAAAGCAGAATACCCTGCGACGGCGACAGCGACTGGGCGCCGCGGGAGGACTGCCCGAACGGACGGTCGTCGGGATTTTTGAAGGCTGCGCACGGGCCAATGGTCGTCAACGATGGAGGACGGAGGAGCTCCTCCGCCCGCCCCCCCACCTCCTCCACGTTTTCCTTCCTGTCCCTCCCTCCTGCTACTCCTTCTGCCCTTCAGCCAGGCTCTCTCGGGAGGCGCGGGCGAAAAGGAGGAAAGAAAAGAGGGGGGGACGCTTCACGAGTCGACTTCAGAACACATGTGGCTCGATACTTGTCAAAGAGAATGAGGAGGACGAGGACTGTGAGGACGACGAGGACAAGCACGCACGGCGCTGGCGCGGCCTGGGCTCCGAACGGCATGGCAGGCGACGCGGGGGGCATGGCTGGCGACGCGGGGCGGGGACAGCGGACACCCAAGCGTTACAAGAGGTGCTCCTGTGCCCGGAACCCTGACCAAAGGAGCGCGTGCGGGAGGAGGTCGTTGCTGACGTCGCTGTGCCTCGCCATTTTGCCCCGCTGGCCAATACCCCATCGAAGAGAGCCTGCTGCTTCTGGGCGGCGGGGCGCTCGCTGCTGTCCGCGCCGAGCGCCCGAGGCCGGCGCGCGCTGGCGACGTCGAGCCATATCGCATCGGGCCCGAGGACCACATCGCGCAGCTCGTTTCCCATCTCGATGCACTGCAACTCGCCGCAGGCAGGTGGCGCGGCCCACCCCTCCTAGGCGGGGCCGCCCGCTGCGCCAGAGCAGTCGGGGCCCGGCGCGCGGCCGCCTGACCCGCTTGGCGGCGTGGGTAGGGGCCCCGCAGCGCGCTTGCTCTCCTCCTCGAGCACGGAGCTGCGCCGCGCACCCGTCCACATATCCTGGCTCGACCATGGCGCCCGGGTTGAGACCCCTGGGCGTGCGCGGGCCAACCGACGTCGCTCATGCCCTTGATGGGCTCGTGCGAGCGGGCGCAGGTGGTGCTCGTTTTCGGACAGGTCTCGCAGGGCGCGCTAAAAGGATCGCCTGATCTCGCTGGGCCAGAATCTCTTGCCCGCGGGGCAGGCTTGGGCGGGACTCCCAGGCGCGCTGGGGGCTCGCCACACGGCCGCCATCGGCGGGCGCCGGGCGCCCCCCGCTCGCCCAGGCGCCTTTGGAGCGGCGCCGACGGGGGCTCGAAACGCGCGGAACTGAGCCCTGCGGGCAGCGCCGGCGTCGCTGGGAGGGGGTCTTTGGGTCCCTCTCGCCAACCTCGGCTGCGCTGGCGGCGGCCGCCCGCCCTGGGCCGCGGGCGCTGGGGTTCTGGCGTCTGCGTCCCGCCATGCAGGGCCCCTGCTGCGGAGGCAGAGAGAGCTGCCGCGGCCCGCCCCGCCTCCCTTTCGAGGTGGGCCAGGCCCGGGAGCACCCCTGCCGCGATTCCCACGGCCTCTGCGTAGGTCAACAGCGAGCGCTTGTCCATCAACCGCGTGACCCGGCAGACCTGGCCGCGATGGGCGCAGGCAGCGGTAATGCGCCCTTCGGCCAGTGGCGGGAGGTCTGGGGCCCGGCCGCCCACCGACAGAACAATGCTCGGCTCGGGCCAAGCGGCGCCGTGGCAGCCGTTCACCGCCCAGGGGTGCAAGCCGCTCTTGAAAGCCACGCCAGCCTTGATGGCCACGCAGGGGCGGTCGCCAGGCTCGATCTCGGAGTCGGACCCCAGGCCCAATATCTCAACCAGTCCAGTCACCGCGCCAGGAGCCGCGTCGCCGGTCGCAGTCCGACGGCTGCGACGCCGGCGGACCACCTCCCTCCACAGCGAAGCAGGTGTCCGACGAACATGGCCCCTCGCCAGAGGAAACAAATCATTCCGATGACGAAAGGCCACGCGATGGACAGCTCCCTGCAGGTGGTCAGCCGGGCGTGGAAGCCCTCATCGACAATGGCCTCATAGTCGAAGGCTGCGTAATTACTCCTGGCCGTGGATGTCTTCTTCCTTGACCTTACAGTCCTGCAAGCGGTCGCGGTGGACCCTCTTGGAATCTGCCTGCTCGAGCCGCTGTCGCAAGGCGCGTGCGCTGGGCCCCTTCACCGCGGTCTTGTTGATCCAGAGGCCAGACAGATCGGCGCGGTTCACGGCCACAGGGTCGACGCGGAGGCGGGCGACGTGCCCGCCAATCCGGATGAGAAGGTCGTCGAACGTCCGAGCAGTACCCCGCCCCTGGATTCTCTTGGCGAACAACCCAATGATGGCCGTCGCTCCCGTGGCGGGCCCTGCCCAAACCGTCGCTGAAGGCTGAGGCGCCGCTGGCGGCAGAAGCTCATCCACTTCCCCATGGCCCGACAGGCGCAGGAGGCACCCGAAGGTGCTGCACGCCACGCCGACCTTCCAGATGCACCAGCTGCACGCGGCGATAAGGGCGCGCAGGCTGTGGGCGACCACAGCCAGCACGCCCGTGAGCCACAGAGGGTGGTCCCGACGCCCGCTACGACGGGCCAGGCCGCGCCCGAAGCAGTTCACGCCCCCGTGGGCGGCGGGGTGGAGGAGCCAGCCGCCGTCCTTGGAGAGCCAGCCTGCTTCCTTTTGGGGGACCAGCGGCGCCGCCCGCGGGCGGGCGCCGCGCCCCCGCGGCGGCTGCCACGCTCCTTCGGCGCGGCGGGGGCGGCCGGCGGCGGCATGCCCTGGATCTGGCGGCCTGGCGCCCAGCAGCACGGCATCGAGTTCCAAGGAGCTCCCCCGAACATTGCGGGCCTCCGGAGTGGGCCTCCAGAGTCCCCGGCCTCGCAGAGCCAGTCGGGGCCGACCCCCAGCTTGACCCAGAAAGGCCTGAGCCCCCACAGGGGGAGAGAGAGAGAGAGAGAGAGAGAGAGAGAGAGCAGAGCAAAGGTGGAGGCAAGGAGAAGGAACTCGCAGGTCTTTGGGGGCCGAGTACGCCTAGTGCTTATATCAAACAACTAACAACCGTAATCGTCTCACGACGCTCAGAACTAGGACCCCTCCACCCCACCCCAAGATGGCCATCCAAGCCACCAAAATGCCCCGAAGAAACTCCCAGGAGGCCTCAGACACCCCCAAGGAAGCCTAACACTCCGTTCAGCAGCCGCTGCGACTTGACCCCGAAGCGAAGCATCCAAGATCCCAAATGGTCGGCAGAGCGTCGTCAGCCACTGAATTTGGTCGGGCCCGTCCACTGCAAAAAGAATGGCCCCTTCCCTCACGCCGTACTGAGCAATGTCAAACCGAGATGCTCCCATCCGTGATCACGAGAACCGCCCAGGCAGCCCACAGATATGCAAGAACGTCGAACTCCTGATCATGATCGTCCTCCTCCTCCTCGTCCTCCTCCTCCTCCTCCTCCTCCTCCTCTTCCTCTTTCTCCTCCTCCTGCTCCTCCTCCTCCTCACTTGCTGCAGGCTCTGCGCTGCTACCCGCATCTCATCAACGAGCAAACTCGGGCGAATCGGTCACACGCTCACATGGATCTGGCACATCGGCGCCAAATCCCCGGACGGGCGAAGTGAGCACCCCTCGAAAAATGAGGCCTATGCGCTCGTTTGGCGACGCAGTGCGCTGACCCTGTACGGAACCGGGGCACGTCGCTACCCACACGCCTTACCTCACGCTGGCGCCTCCTCGGTCGTCCTCCTGCCCTCTCTCCTCGTCCTCCTCCTCCTCCTCCTCCTCCAGCTCCTCCTCGTCCCCCTTCCTCTGGGGTCTCTCTGGCTGCTCCCTGGATTGAAGGGAACAACACGGGGACAATGACCAAGATGTCGCGGGATCTTGTCGATGCCGAGCCTGGCCATGATCCATGTCGGCCGTCGCCGATTCGCGAGGATGATCCGCGAATTGACGCTAACCAAGATCGAAGCTGACCAACATCGACACGACGCTTCGGCGTTCAATCTTGGGTCTTGGTCATGGTCACCGTTTTCTCCCCCTGAATGAGCACACTCCGTAGTCCTCTATGGTGGCTGGGCGAAGCGCCAAAGCCCGCACAGGCGCCTGGCTCGCACGGCTCAGGTCGAGCATGGCGTTGGTCTCCAGCAAGCGCATCTCCTTCTCCCTGCGCTCCTCGGGGCCGCAGGCGCCAGCCGGATAGATCCTGTCTCCTCCCCCTCCCCCTCCCCCCACCGACCGCACCCCTCTTCTGCCAAGTTTTGCCTCCGGACCTTGAGACTCGAGGAAGGAAGTGTCGGGACGGTCTCTGAGACAAATCTTAACGTTCCTAACCCTTCCCTGGCCTCCGAAGGCCATTGGGGACCTCCAGGGGCCGGTGGGTAGTCCTGGGGACGCGAAAGGTCAGGGTCCAGGGCGGCAGCGAAACTTACCGATATCTCCTTTAGCATCATTATCCTCCTCATCCGCCTCCCCCCGCTTTATTTACTGTTGCTACTGCTGCCACTATGTAGCTGACAGTCGAAACATGGCAACAAGCGCATGGATCAAAATCCTGAGCCCCTCCGCAGAAAGCCCCCCGGAGGTGTACCCTGAACCAGGGACGTTCCAAGGTCGAGAGCCACATCACGAAGAAAATGAGGGTGCGTACCCCTCCAAAGTCAGGGTAATTGTTAACCCTCGTGCCAAGATTGCCATCGCTTGCAGTCCGCTACCAAAAAGTCCCAGGCTTTCACCCAAGGACCCACGGACGAAGGCGGGGGGCCACCCGATGGAAGGAGGCGGGAGACCGCAGCCGAAAGGCGGGGCCAGGAGTGCGCGAGCTGCAGCCCAGCGACCATGCGGCACCGCTCACGTCGCTCACTGGTGTCAAAAAAGCCAGCCAAGAGGAGGGGGGGGCCCGAAAGCAGGGCGGGGAACCAGGAATGTCCAACTCATAACCCTGAGTGGGGAGACAGAACAAGAAGCCACCACTTCAATCTACTATATCACAATTGCTGCCACTACAACAACTTCCTCTCATTATCATTCCTCCTCCTCGCCTCCTCCCTCCTCAGCCGTCTCTCCGCGCCGTCCTTGCTCAAGCGTCCTCTTCCTACCTCGTCTTATCTCGTCCCTCCTTCCGCCCTGGTCACTGCTGCATCCTTCCTCCCCTATTCCCTCATCCTTCCTTCCCTCCTTCAGATGGCGCCCTCCCTCTTCGTCCTCTGTCTATCTCCTCACCTCCCATCCCTCACCGCTGGTTTTACGGCAGGTTCGTGCCGTGACAACCCTGGCGCTAGTTTCTGACACCACGTGGAACGATCGGCGGGTTGCCGATCGCAAGATAGTCCCAGGGTGCCACTGGCGGCGCTCGACCTTGAACGTCCGAGGCTGGGTCGCCGCCGCGTCGGCACGACACGGACCCCCCGTACTCTCTCCCAACTGGTAACCTGGACCCCGCCTCCACTCGTCACCGATCTTCGCACGCCCCATTGGGACGACAGAGCCAGCCACTTTCCTACTCCATGTTGCGCCTCCTTTATGGCTCCCTTCTCCCTCCTCTTCACCCTCCGTCTCCGCCCGCCCTCTCCCATACATCCGTCCCCTCTCACTGTTCCTCCCCCTCTATCCCCCCCGTCTTCATCCTCCTCCTCCTCCTCCTCCTCCGCCTCCTCCTCCCAGTCCTGGTCTCTGGGAGGAGGCGGCAAAGGGGGAGTTGGCTCGCCCGCAGCATGACTGGGACTGGCCACATACTACCCACAACGCCAGAGCAGCGCCCAACCGCTGCGCAACCAGGACACACCAGCAGTGCCCAAGCAGTGCCTGGCGGCGCTCGCAGAGGTGCGGTGGGGCGGCCTTCAAAGAGGGCGCCCTCTCAAACGCCTCCCCGCCCTCTAAAAAGACGTAGACGACCACGGCGACATCAGGCCCGAGAGCACATGGAGACGACGGCGAAACGAGACCGAAACTGTACGAAGACGACGGGCAGCGAGAACAGGCCAGAGGGGCGCCGCGGCGCGGCAACCAGCAGAACCGAACCGACAGAACGCAGCCGACCGCGACGCAGCCAGCCAAACCGAGTCGCGGGCACCCCTCAAAGCCTTAGTTTTCCGACGCTCCACGGCAAGATCAATCAGCATCGAATGGTGAGATCTGGTCGAATCGATCTGTGACTCTGGGCTGCGTCGGCACGGGGTCGACGTCGAATCGGATCGGCTGCGCAAGGCCTCTCAACAGCGCCATGCGAGCATCGGGTCGCAACGGATCGGCGGGAAATGGATATCGAATCGGATCAAGCCAGGTGAATTGATAATCGAAGCGGATCGGTCGAATCAAAAGGGCCCTGCCGTGAAGCCTCCCTCAGAAGGCCCCCCTTTCGTCCCCCACCACCTCGCGCGCCTCGCCAGAGTGTCCGACGAAGACTCCCAAGAGGAGAAGGAAGGGAAAGGTCAAACTTCAGTCCCGCCGCTCCTGGTGGATCTCCCGTGCAGCGCGCATAGCCTTCGAGCGATGATTTCAAGGCTCCGGCGGCAGCGTCCGTAGCTGGCACGACCGCCAGCGCAGCGGGGCCGCCGTCGCCAACTGGCGGGGCAAGCGTCCGCTGCGCACTGCTCCGTGCTGGTGGCAGTTTTTGGGCGACGCCCACCTCAGGAGCGGCGAACATTTCCGTATCCGTGCTGGCGCCCTTGCGGTCTGGATTCTGGGGCGCGATCCCGCGGATGCGCGGTCACACAGATACGTTTTCCCCCCTGTCGTGGCCCCTGATGTAGGCCCGCACCAAGGACCACTCCGGGGAACGGCCACTCCTGCGCGTGGCCGAAAAGATTGCGCTCGGCCTCAGCGCCAGCGCCGGGCGGGCCGAAAAGCTGGAGGCCGAGGCAGGGGGCTGGAGCAGCACGAGCTCCTCGGGACGCCGGGATCCGAATACGGGAAATATTACCTACGCGCAAGGGTGACCCTAGCAAGAGTGACCTTTGGTGCGTGGCTTCAGGGGGCCGCAGGGCAGGATATGCATAGGGGGGAGTGCATCGACCTGGAATCGGCGATGCATCGCCGATAGATCGGCGTCAGGCCCCCGACAGCGAACCCGCGCCTTCCTAGGCGGGTTTGGGCCATCGGGCCCCTAATGATCGGCGATCAATGGGCGATTGAGGGTCGATGCAAGCAAAGCAAGCAAAATGCTGAGTACGAAACGCACATGAGCACATAGCCACTATCACGTGGTATCGCAGTACTTGCTGACTGCGACACGCCACGCCGTGGCCGAAGAAATGGTGTCCTGCCACAGCGCCGGAAGGGCCTCCATACCCCCAGCTGCTTCGCAGGCGTGCCTGTAAACTTCCCGGGACCACGTTGCTCGTGGGCGCCTTCTCTTTCTCTGGGTGGGAGGGGGGAGGAGGAGGGAGGAAAAGGGCCCATATGCCCATCCGCCCCCATCGCTGCCCCCGAGGGAGGGGTGGTTGGCAGGCCAAACCTAAGCGCGCAGGCCAGTGCAGGCCGAGGGGGAGCTGGAGGAGCACGATCTCTGCGGGACGCCTGGCCTCGGGCAGCCTCGGCCCCCATGCGCTGCGCCCGAGGGCGCGCCCGAGGGCGGCGCCCACCATCGGCCGCCCGCCCCGGGGGAAGAGGGCCGCGAGCGGCAGACATATGTACGCCTCCGTGCCCTCGCGGCCTGGACTCCGGGGCGCGATCCCACGGATACGCGGTCGCACGCGCATGTTCCGCGCGGGCATCCGCGAGCAAAACGCCCCGCATCTGTGGGGTCGCGGCCCAGTCCAGGGGCCCGGCACGCCCGGCGCGGACATCGTTTTCGCTCACGAGGGGGCAGATGGGGCGGTTCACGAGCGGGTCGGGTGCACGCCAACATGGATTCGAGATCCGTGGATCTGGCGCGTGGGCACCAGTTCCACGGTTCGGGGAAGGCATCCCAGAAAAATCAAGCCAGGGTCGCCTCATTTGGTGACCGATCGCGCCGATTACGTCAGGAAGCGGGACCGGCCGCTAATCCACGCGCCTTCATCCACGTTTGCGCTCCCTTGAGCGGGAGGAGCCAGGGGTGGTTCCCCTGGTGGGGTAGTTACCCCCTCGCGCTCGAGACATTTCCTATCCCCAGCTCTAGGAGGCATCGTGAACCTCCTCACTGGAGGTGACTGGTGGCCCCCCTTGGTGGTGGTGGTGTCGCTTCTCCTTCCCCCGATCACGTGGCCCCTCACCGAAGCCGCAGGGGGGCTTCTCAAAAGTCCGGAGGGCTTTTCAAAGCCCCACAGCCTCTTAGAAGGTCTTCCCCCCCTTCGCTGCCTGGGCTTTTTCAGGACATGATCCCACCAGCCCTTTGGGGAGTGAGTGGTTTAGGGAAATTCCTCTTCCATCGTCTCTCTTCCCCTTCGGGCAGGGGTTTACCCCTCCTCCTACTTCGTCCCCATTGGACCTGGGCGGGGCCTTTCGCGAGGGGTTGGAGCGGCCAAGATGGCCTCGGCGAGAAGCCCAACAAAATTGATGTGACTGAAATGTTGGTCACATTTGGGCCTCTGGGGGGGGCGGGGGGGCGTAATTGGAAACTCCCCCTTCTTTGATCGATCACCTCCAAGATGGCCACACCATGACCCCCGAGGCTCTAAAGGTACCCCAAGACTGGCCAAAGGTGCCCAGGAGGCCCCAAGAGGCCCCCAAGAGGCCCCCTGAGATGCCCCAAAGAGGCTCTCAAGTGACCCCAACATGCCCCAAGAGACTCCCCAAAAGGCACCCAAAACGCCTACTGAAATGTTGGCCACATTTGGGCCGCCTGGGAGGGAACCGTAATTACGGAGCCCCCCTCCGTTGGTCGATCTCCTCAAAGGTGACCCCAAGATGGCCCCCCAGGCACCCAAGGGTGCTCCAAGACTGAGACGCCCCAAGGGGCCTCGGCGAGAGAGCCAACATCATTGAGTTCATCGAGGTTTTGGAACCATGTTGGCCACGCTAATCAAGGAGCCCCCTTCCTTTTGATACATCACCTCCAAAATGACCCCACGATGGCCCCCGAGGCTCCGAAGGGTGCCCCAAAACGACCCCAAGAGGTGCCCAGGAAGCCACAAGAGGCCCCCTTGAGAGGCTCACAAGATGCCCCCAAGAGGACCCCAAGAAACCCCCAAGAGGCCCCAAGAGGTCCCACAGGGGCACCCAAGACGCCCCAAGAGACCTCGGCGAGAAGACCAACATCACTGACGCTTGCAAGTTGTTGGCCACATGTTCGCCTCCTGGGGGTCCCGGTGGACCCTACTTCAGGAGCCCCCCTCCTTTGGTCGATCTCCTCCAAGATGGCCCCAAGATGGCCCCCGAGGCTCCCAAGGGTGCCCCAAGATTGCCCCAAGATGTGCCCAGGAGGCCCCCAAGAGGCCCCCAAGAGGCCCCCAAGATGTCCCCAAACGGCTCCCAAGAGACCCCAGCATGCCCCAAGAGGCTCCCCAGGGGCACCCAAGACGCCCCAAGAGTCTCCGGGACTGCCAAGAGACCTCCAAGACACCCCAAGAGGACCCTAGGAGCTCTATGAAGAAATCCGAAGGAACTCTGAGAGAGGCATCCAAAAGGCTTCTGGCCTTTCTGCTCGCCCTCCATTCTTTTGCTTGACAAATAACTCCCCACGAACCCGCGTCGGTCAAGGTTCGGGAATCACCGATTGGGCCTGCTGGATCGATGAGCGAGGTCGAAGATGTAGTTATTTGGGCCTTTTATGGTGTTGTGGAGCCCTCCCTAGGGCGGCGCATGGGAACCTCCTCCAGTTGGTGGGGAACCCGGGGGGAGTGAGAAGGAACCGGCCTTCTCAGAAAACTGCGGGGTTTCTCCGAAGCCCTCCGCTTTTTGGAAATAGTACTTGCGCGGGGGAGGTTTAGAAACCTCCTCAGAAAGCCCCAGGCCGTCCGAGCCTTCGGAAAACCCTCGAACCTTGTTCACGTCCCCCCAGGCTCGCTGCCGAACCAAAGACCCCCAAGCATTCCAGGACTGAGGTTCGAGAGCGGAGCATCGCGGTTCGAAGTTCAAGGTTTTAGGGATTTGCTGATGCAGCTTGGGTGATTTGCGGCGCCCTGGCTGGATTCGCATCCGAATTCTTGTCAAAACGCATCCCACGACAGGCCCGCAGGTGACTTTGAGAGGGGCCCAGGTGTCCAACGCGGACATTGTTCGGCCTGCGGAAACTCAGTTTCGGACACTGGTGCATCGAATAACCGACCCTGCGAAAATAGAACGACGCACTCTAAAGACAATGCCCATGATGAAACAGTACACCCAAGGGTCCAAATCACCAGGGGCCAGTTTTCCATGTACAAACCGAGCTACATGCTTACATTCGCGAGTAAATATAATTGTACGAAGATGAATGATCATACCCGTACATACAAGCACATACAAGCACGACTACATACATACGTGCATACATGCATGCATGCATGCTTGCATGCGTACAGACGGACGGACGGACGGACGGACGGACAGACAGACAGACAGACAGACAGCCATACTGACAATCATACAACCAAACAAACAGACAAACAAACACGTGCAAACATGAATACAATGTGAAACTGTATGGACGTACAAGGTGAAACGCTGTTTCTATCATCCACCGTGCCCTGAAGCACGAGTTGGAGTGTCCTCGAATACCTTCGGATTTTGCGCGCTGAATTGTACAAGTGTACGAAGGGGCCTTCAACCCTGAGCTGTGGGCGCTCTCGGGCGCTCATTGGAAGTCCCCGCGTGACTTCTCGAGAGGCCATTAGCCCCATGCCGTCCAACACGATTCTAATTGCCGATCGTGTGGGACACGCATGCATGTCCAACACGATTCTAATTGCCCCGGGCCCTCTTGGGCGCCCCATGCCGTCTTGGAGGCCCTGGCATGTGGGCCGGGAGGTCCCAATCCAACCCCATATATTTGTTTCTGCATGGCATGCTCGGTCTTCAGAGCGCCCAAGACGGCCCCAGACGCGCCCCAAATCGCCCCGCGAGCCCCCAAAAAGGGCCCGAGAGCCTCCAGCACGGTTCCAAAGGGCCCAAGATGGGGAACGCGAGCTGGCATTTTGAGCCCTCCGCCCCAAGATGGCTCCAAAATTCCCCACAAGCCCCCGAAGTGCGCCCAAGAGGCCGCCAATGGGCCCCGAGAGGCCCAAATCAGGCCCCTAAAGGTTCCCATGGCGCCCCGATATGCCCTCAAAGTTGATTCCAAGAGGCATCCGAGAGGCCCCCGGAAAAAATCAGCACTGCCATCCAGGAAACCTCCGACCTACAACCCGGGCGCGGTGGCGGAATGGTCCGAAGGCGACCAGATAATTACCCCAACAAAACACACAAGTGGCAGCTACGGTGAAACTCATGGACGCCTGAAACGTCGGCTTGCGAAAACGACCGCATCAGACCGTCGATACGAGTACGGAATTGAACTTGCCGACGGGGGTGACGTTCGTGATGTCGACATGGTGGCACGAAAGCGCTTGGAACAGCACGAGGGACCGAGCGGCCCCACTCCT